GGTGGATGTGAACCACCAACCTTGCAGTTCGCAGCCTAGTGCTTAACCCGGTGTGTCACCAGGGTTCCATCACTGTAGATGCCAAACCTAGGGCAATCAAGTAGATTCGAACTCATAGTGAGTCTAGGACAGAGTTCACCTGCTCAGAGGTTTTCTGAGACTGTACATGTTTACGGAAACAGACAGCTGTACGTTGTTAGATGCTGTGGAATCAGTTCCAACTCTGGTTTCCAAGGCTGCAAATCTTTATGGGAGCAGAAAGGCTCATCTGTTTTCTGAGGAGCTACTGATGGGTTTGAACTGCTGACCTTGTGGTTAGCAGTTCAATGCTTATCCTACAGTGCCACCACGGCTCCAAACAGCTTTATGTTGTTAAGTTGTTAAATGCTGTCGAGTCTGTTCTGATTCATAGAGACCCTGTGTAGGGTTTCTGAGGAGCGACTGGTAGGTTTAAACCACTGATCTTTTTTGTGTGTGTTATTTTAAACATTTAATTTATTCTTATTAAGTATGTTTATAATAGAAACTAATCAATTCTGGTACTTGAATTGATTCATTTATAAATTAAACATTGCAAACCATTTTTAAATTAGTTAAACACTGCAAACTCTTCTTTAGCCCTGTGTACAATGCTAATGTGTGAGTACCTCCAGAATTACCAACTGGTCTGTGAAGACAAAGGAAAACAGAGCCTGGTTACTCTTCCAAGTGGTTAAGAAGGCCCGAGATAAATCTTCAGCCCCAGATTCTTTTTCTTCTCTCCTACTACTTCCTAAAGACAAGGGTTAGGTTGTTTCTCACTTGTTATTTTTGTTGTTAAGCACCATTAATAAGTCCGTGACATCTCAGAAAACAATTTCAGAATCCCTGTACAGGGTCACTATGAGTCAGAACCAACTCCACCATGGCACTTGGTAGGAGACAGAGTTTGGTTTGTGGCTTGTGATTGGCTGTTGAACCACTGATCTTGTAGTTGTCAGTCCAGTGCTTATCCTAGAGCGCCACACCAGCCCCCCCCCCCCATAGCTGTATAGTTGTCCTTCGTTTCTCTTCTAGAGGGATACAGAAACCAGCAGCATTTTCAGGACATCAAAAAAAAAAAAAATTAACAATTACTGATAACCTTTTAGTAAGAGGAAATAAATTTTCTTAGAACCGGCCCTCCTGTGTACTTACTGTGTGTGTCACATTAAACAGACTTTTATTGAACAGTTAAAGGAGCTCTGGTAGCGTAGTGGTTACGAATTGGGCTGCAACCTGCAAGGTCAGCAATTCAAAACTACCAGCAGGTCCGTGGGAGAAAGATGAGGCTTTCCGCTCCCATAAAGATTTATGGAAACCCCGGAAACATTGCACAGGGTTGTTGTGAGTTGTAACCGACTCCACGGCACAGTATGAGCTGAGTATAATTTCCGTTGCTTGACATGTAGTAAGTAATTCATTCTTCCTAACACTTCTAATGTTTGCCTTATTTTACAGATAAAGCAACAGACACAGAGAGGTTAATTTACCTGTATAGGATCACACAGCAGTTAAGTGGCAGTGTCAGGATCCAGACCTTGCCAGCCAATTCCACACGTGTGGGCTTGGGCACAGCATTCAGCTTTCATGAGTGTTGTTGAGTCAGTTCTGACTCAGAGCGACTCTGTATGGGGTTTCAGAGGATCCATCTACTGTGGCAGCCGGTGGGTTTGAACCACCAACCTTGTAGTTAGCAGTCCAGTGCTCACCCTGCAGCTCCACACCCGGACTCCAGGTGTTAAGTGGTGGTGATGGTGGTTGTGTGGCCCTGAGTCAGTTCCGACTCATAGTGACCCTGTATAGGGTTTCCTGCTTATAACAACCTGGTATAGGGTTTCTGAAGAGCAGCTGGTGAGCTTGAACAGCCCACCTTGTTATTCAAACTGGCCTTGCAGTCCAGCACATTAACCCGCAACACCACATGTTCTCTTTACAGAGGCAGAAGCCTCATCCTTCTCCCATGGAGCGACTGGTAGATTTGAACTGCTGACCTTGTAGTTGGCAGTCCAAATCATAATCCACTACACTACCAGGGCTCCTTAAGAAGGAGAATAATGGTCCCTGAAGATGTTTATGTGACGAAAGAGAATGAATTATGGTTGTTTTTAACACTGAATTATGTTTCAGTTTTTAACACTGAAAGATTATCCGGGATGATCCAGGTGAATTGAGTGTAATCACCAGGATCCTTACAAGGGAATGGAGTCCCTGTGTGGGGCAAACGGATAACATAGGTGCAAAAGGTTGAAGGTTCGAATTCACTCAGAGATACCTTGGAGGAACAGCCTTGTGATACTTCCAATAAATCAGTCATCAAAAACCTGATTCTGTTCTTCACTGTGTGAACCCTGAATTGGGATCGACTAGACTCTGCTGTTATTAGTCACCTTCAAGTCTGTTCTGACTCACGGGAACCCCATGTGTTCATGGCAGAATTGCAGCCACGGGGAATTTCTCCTTCAGAGGCTGGGTGACAGCGTGGTTAGTTACAGAGGCTTAGGTTGTGAGCGGGCTCATTTTATCACCAGGTGCAGTGGTTTTATGGGCAGTGATGGTTCAGTAATGGAACCTTCTATTGGAGAGACCCGCAACCCTGAAATAAATATGCCGGGGCAGGCTCTCGGCAGAGAGACCCCGCTTTGATTCTTACAGCCAAGGTATGTCATGTACAACTACCTCCATATGTGTGTAGAAGTGTGTGTGTTTCTGTGAATCCAGCACATGTTGCAATAGACCTTCTAGACAAAGATGAGCAGGAGGAAAGGCCTGGTGAAGTACTTCTCCAAATGAGGCAATGAATGGCTTCTGGATCACAGAGATCTGAGTGCCCCAGTCGATCACAGGAATGGTATGGGACTGGGCAGCCTTTTGGTGCACAACGTTGTGCTTGGGGTTGTGACGAGCCAGGGGCCCACAAATAATAGTGGCCCTCAAGCTCAGCTGCATGCTGCAATCTCCTTTTAAAAAATATAGATGTCTGCCCACAATCAAAGGAGTCCTGGTGGCTTTGTGAGTTAAGCATGGGTGTGTCTTAGGGATGTCAGTGGCTGAGCTTTCAGAAGTAGATTCCAAACCTTCCTTTCAAGGTGCCCTTGTGGTTGGTTAGTAGCTGAGCTTATTAACTGTTTGTACTACCCAAGGAAGGAACCCTGGTAGTGCAGTGGGTACACACTTGGTTGCAAACCGAGTACACACTTGGTTCGAACCCACCAGCTGCTCCCATAAAGATTACAGCCTAGGAAGCCTGTGGGGAGGTCTCCTCTACCCTGCAGGGTCACTGTGAGTCTTGGTCCACTTGTTGGCAACAACAGCCTCCATCATTTCCCAGGGACTCCTGGGGTCCACAGCAGGCCCCCTTTAGGGATCCCTTCCTCCAAATTTCTCCCCTTCCCTCATCCAGCTTGGGCTTGTTGCCGTAACTCAGGGAAATATTCGCAGGGACTTTTTCAGCCTCATTGTATCCAGTAAGTCTGGATTCTAGAAGAATTTGAAGTTCTGTTCCACATTTTTCTCCCTTTTGATCAGGATCCATCTGTTGTGGCCTTGTGATTCGGTCGTGGTAGCGAGCCACCCTCTCCCGAATTCTTCCGGTGTGGTTTTCCCATTCTTTAAGCACTTGCTTACTTTCTGGCATAGCCAGACATTTTAGGCTTATCCTGCCCCAGCTGTGGAATCAGCCAGTTCTCCAGTGAATCCAACTGCTCTTCAGTGTAGATATCCGAAAACCTGCTCCCTTTCCCTGTCTGCATATCCCCTTCTCAGACATCCACTCTCCTCATTATATTTACTTCCTCGATAACATTAATTTGCTAATTTAATGCTGCCCATTTCCCACCCTTATAACAAAGGACTTCTGCCACCCCACCCCCTCACCAGCCTGCTCCCTTGGACACAGGGTCTATGCTTGGCTGCACCTCCACATGGTACTCCCTTACCACCCGGCATCCTCAGCTGCTGACATCTGTACGCTGGAAGCAGAAAGGAAGGAAGAGGAGAAGGGCAGGGGAGGGCTACCTGTGTCAATTCATCGCTGTGCAAAGACAAAAACTGTTTCAGGAAAACAAAAGAATGAACCTTTTCAAAACTTCAAAGTGACTCCCAGGACAGAGCAGCAGCCAGAAGTTCAGGTTCATTGTGAGATACATTGGTTAGAAATCACATACTCAAGGACAGTCTTGCAATGGAGAATGTTATTGCTACGTGCCCTCAAGTCTGTTCCGACTCATAGCAACTCCCGTAAACAACAGCACGAAACGCGGCCAGGTCCCACACTATCCCCATAGACGTTGTGTTTGATCCCAATATTGCAGCCACTGTGACGATCCATCTCTCTGGGGGTCTTCCTCTTTTTCACTGACCCTCCACTTGACCAAGCATGATGTCGTTCTCTCAGAATTGGTCCCTCCTGAGTGTCCAAAGTGTAAAAGATGAAAAATAAGTATCTGCTTTTCCTTGACTGTAAGGAAATGGAGACTCATGACGCGGTTTCAGATTTCTGTCTGTTTGTTTCACTCTCAACAATCCTGTGACGTAGATGCTGTCTGGGTCCGTATTTTACTAAAAACAGAATTGCTGCACAGAGGGGTTAATAAATACTATGCTCAAGAGCTAACTACTCAGCTAAAAAGGCGAAGTGTCAGACTTGGAACCCGAGTCCAGCAGCTTGTGCTGCTTTTCATTCCCTGCATATTCTGGAAATCTCTCCCCTGGGAGCTACAGGAAGCACTTGTGTTAAGGTCGCTGTGTGCAGTTGTGTGGGTTGTTCACTGCACAAAGGCACTTGACCGAGGGAACTGGAATCCAGACCGTACTCTGCCTAGCAGGTGTTGTGTGACTTCTGCTACCTGGGGGAAGGAGGACCTTGAAAAAATCTCTTACAGATAATCATGTGGCACAGGTAAACGTGGCTTTCATCTGCTGACTTCTTTCTCTTTTCCCTGTTCTGTCTTCCCAGGACTCAGTACCAAGAAGAGGGCAGGATGACCAAGTTCCAGGTGAGTTGGGCTTTCTTGTGTCTTACAATGAAGTCTCGTTTCTCAAAGCTCAATATACCACCTTCTTTTCTTCCGTTGATAGAGAAAAGGGGAAGAATGGATATTTGTCTTAGTCACCAAATGCTGCTACAGTATAAATACCACAGGTGGATGAATTTAAGAACCAGAAATTTATTCTTTTACAGTTTTGGAGGCTAGAAGTCCAAATTCAGAGTGCTTACTCTTGGGGGTAGGTTTTCTCTTTGTCAGCTCTGGGGAAAGGTCCTGGTCTCCTTCCAGCATTCCTTGGAGCTCTCCATCCACCTTGGCATCAGTCTTCCCCAGGATCTAGGAGCTTCCCAGCACAGGGACCCCAGGTCCAAAGGATGCATTCCACTCCTGGCTCCTCTGTGTTGGTGGCAGCAGGTCTCCTCTTTCTCTGCTCCAATCTCTCTCCTTTTTATCTTTTGTAAGATAAAAGATGTTGCATGCCACACCCTTGGGAATCTCCTATAAATCGATTCAGGGTTATGGTGGCATTAGGGGTGGTACATCCCACCCTTAATCCTCTTACTGTCTTCTCACATCAAATTACGTCATGGGGAATGGTTACACCTCCGATGGCAAACCACTTGAGAATCCTGGCTTAGTCAAGTTAACCTAAAACCTTAGCCATCACAACATTGAACTGCTTGTTGTGCTAAGGGACTTCACATTTTGGTTCTGTTTGAGTTTTTCTTACAGTTTTATATTCTTATCATTTATTTACCACATAGAGGTACTGCTGTTCGTGTCTTAGAGTCGGTTCTGACTGATTGTTGTTGTTAAGTGCTGTCGAGTCAGTTCCGACCCATAGCAATCCTGTATAGGGTTTCCAAGGAGCAGCTGGTGAGCTTGAACCACCAACCTTGTAGTTCAAATGGCTTTGCAGTCTGGTGCATTAACCCACAGTGCCACACCAGGACTCCTTCTGACTCATGTTGTTGTTGTTAAGTGCCGTCGAGTCGGTTCCGACCCATAGCGACCCTGTACAGGGTTTCCGAGGGTGTAAATCCTTACAGGAGTAGGGAGTAGAAAGCCTCATCTTTCTCCTGCAGAGCAGCTGGTAGTTTCGAACCGCTGACCTTAAGGTTCGCAGCCCGATTCGTAACCACTACGCTACCTTCTGACTCATAGTGACCCTAAATAGGGTTTCCGAGGAGTGGCTGCTGAGTAAGCATCAGCCTTGTGGTCCAAACCGACGTCGTGGTTGAGTGCTTATCCTACAACACCAACCAGGACTCTCATGTACAAATCAAGAGTCCCTGAGTATCACACATGGTGAAGCACTTGGCTGTTATATTTGAAAGCTGATAATGTCAGTGTTAAGGAGCTCTGGTAGCGTAGTGGTTACGAATCGGACTGCGAACTGCAAGGACAGCAGTTCAAAACTACCAGCTGCTCCGCGGGAGAAAGGTGAGGCTTTCTGCTCCCGTAAAGATTTACTAGCCTCTGAAACCCTGTTCAGGGTCTCTATGGGTCGGAACCGACTCGACGGAACTTAACAACAACAACAATGTCAGTGTTGGCCAAGGTAATGCAAATGACTGATTCTTTTACCTTCTTGGAGGACGGTAATCTGAAGGGTTGAGCTGACATACTGTCAGAATTTTAAAGGTACACATTCTTCTATAGCAATTTCAATTTATTGGAATTTTTCTTAAGAAAGTAGCCAGATTGTTGGGCCAAAGACAAAAAACTCAAAGTAAATGACCATTAACTGCATTGGTTACATAGATTCTACCCCAAAACCCACTGCCCTCAAATCGATTCCAAGTCATAGTGACCGCACGTGGGTAGAATTGCTTCTTAGGGTGTCCAAGGCTGTCATTATGGAAGGAGTTCTGATGACCCAAGTACTCATGTGCTCAACAGCTAACTGAAGGGTCAGTGGTTCAAACCTACCAGCAGCACTTTGGGCAAAAGATGTGACAGTCTCCTTTTGTCAAGATTTACGGTCTTGGAAGTCCTGTGGGGGTAGTTCTTTATACTTTAGAGTCTCTATGAGTTGTAATCAAGTCCACATTACTGGGTTTGGGTTTTTTGTTTTGTTTTGATCTTTATGGGACCTGATGGCCATGTCTTTTTCCTGAAGAACAGCTGGTGGCTTCGAATCTCCAACCCTTCAATTAGCAGCTGAGTGCTTAACCAGGGCTCCTTGGTGTAATGTATTGTAAATCATAAATTCCAGAAAACTTCAGAGCCATTAAATGAGGGAAGCAGATGATAAGGAAGATTTCAATGATGCTGGCATCTCCCATTTACTGAGCACTTAACTATGTGCCAGGTACTATCCTACGAGCTTTTCGTGTATGATTTAATGTCAAGCTTAGAACAACCTCACAATGTAGTTACCATTATTATCCCCATTTTGCAAATGAGAAAACCCCAGCGATTAAGAGATTGAGTAATTTGCCCATGTGCACGCAGCCAACAAGCGACAGGGCTTTGTGTTAGACACCAAGACAGTCTGGCTTTGAACTCTGCACTTCACTTTGTAGTACGAAAGCTGCAGTAGGTGGATGTGACTTGCTTGCCAAGAGCAGAGAAGATGAATTAACTACCTGCCCAGGACAAGTAACCGAAGGCCATTGAGTGTGGCCAAAAAATGAGTAGAGTGGAGAGTTCAGAGTTATATCCCATTGTAAAATTAGTATCTCCTGTGGCTCGGTAATTAAATTCTTAGACCTATAAGAATAAGGATTCCTGGTGTGGCACTGTAGGATCAGCACTGGACTGCGAACCACAAGGTTGGCGGTTCAAACCCCACCAGCTGCTCCTCAGAAATCCTTTACGGGGTCAGAAACAACTCGATGGCATTTACCAAGAGCAGTATAACAATGTACCAGATCTCCTTAGCAAAGTATACACTTTAACACATCAAGTTAAAACTGTGGGACTGTTTTTTTTTGTTTTTAGCTGCAGCACTTGAGTCTGACTGCAGTAACTCAATACGTAGCATTGGCAATGTGGAAGGCAAACAGGAGGGAAGAGAACAAAAGTAAATGCTGTTGCCATCAAGTCCAATCGGACTGCTGACACCCGCTACGTGTGTCACAGTAGAATGGGGCGCCACAGGATTTTCCAGGCTGTGCTCTTTACAGAAGCAGATCCTCAGACTCTCTCCCATGATGCCGCTGGGTGGGTCCAAACCGCCAACCGCTAGGTTAGTTGTCACGTCCCTCAGGATCTGAGCAACTTTCCACCTGTCCTCTCTGCCTTCTCAGCTCTGCCCTTCCTCCAGGGTACGAGGGGTGTAAGGAGGCTGTGTGTCTTTGATGTTGCAGGAAGCGGTGACGTTCAAGGACGTGGCTGTGGTCTTCAGTGAGGAGGAGCTGAGGCTGCTGGACTCCACTCAGAAGAAGCTGTACCAAGATGTGATGCTGGAGACCTTCTGGAACCTGCTCTCCGTGGGTAAGGACATCCTCCCTCTGTAATTTGGCATCAGTGCTCTCGGGGGGTTTGATATCTCCATTAACTTAGGGCTCTGGGACCCCTAAAAGAGTTCCTTGTGCTTGGGGATCCGAATATTCTGATCCTTGAGGAGCACAGAGAGAAGAGATTTCTGATGTCTCCACCAAGGCAAACGTTTGCACTTGTCAACAAACTGTGTGAGTGGGCAGCATAGTGTAGCTTTTGTGTCTTGTGTTTTCTTTTTCTAATTGTGTTGTGATCTCTCAGTGGGTTGTGAATCATACCAGAATTTATTTTTAAAAGCATTACAGTAAGATAGAATGGAATAGAAAGTATCAGAGCTGCTTAGTAAAGACTTTACACATTAAAGCAAGAACAAGCCAGTTCTACTGAGTTGTATGAAAGAGCGTGGAAGGCATGGGAGAAGTACACTTTGATGTTGTTGTTAGTTGCCACTGGATGGATTCTGACTAATGATGGAGTCCTGGTGTGGCATTGTGGGTAATGCACCAGACTGCAAAGACATTTGAACTGCAAGGTTGGTGGTTCAAGCTTACCAGCTGCTCCTCAGAAACCCTATACAGGCTCGCTATGAGTTGGAACCTACTTGATGTCACTTAACAACAACAGTGATGAATTATGTATAAGGTAAGTCAAAAAGCATAGCTACAGAATTATAAAAACCTTATTCAACAAAAGTAGCAAAATGTGAAACTATTGTTTTTTGACATACTCTCCATCTAGGTCTAGACACTTCTGAAAGCAGTGTTTCTTGTCTTTAACTTTTCTTCAAAGGATTCTGTTCACTTCAATTTCCACCATGCCGAAATCCTCAAGGGATGGCAATCATGTTCCTTTGAAATGTTCTTTGAGTGTGAGGCAAGATCAGGGTGTATGGTGGATAGAGTAAGATTTCTCATTGAAATTCTTGTAGGATACCCTTTGCTGCCATTTATGAATGAACAGGTGTATTGTGTGACAGAAAAAAACTCCTCAGAGCAACTTTTTTGGTTTTTTGTTGTTGTTCACCAAAGCAGTTTTCCTTCATCTTCAAACTTTTAGTTGGCCCCTGAGATTGCCCAGTGTCCATTGAGAAAATCTATCACTGTGACTCGTTGGGCATCTCAAGAAACTGTTGCCACACCCTTCTGAGCTGACCTGAAAAAAGCCACTGTCCTGATTGGACCTTTTTTTGAAAGCATTTTGATGAGCCGAAGACAAGTGTGTTAGTGAGAGAACTTGTGTGCACCATCGCTGATGCCAGAGACGGGATTAAGTGTGTCGGAGTGTACCTGTGCATATACAAACTGGGACTCTAGTAGCCATACTTTTGGGCTTGCCCTCATATGTGTATGAAAGCTCTTCCAAAGGTTTGTGGAAAAATGGAATGAAAAGAGAAGGGAGTCTTTCTGTGAACTTTTTAAAGCCCCCTTGTGTACCTGTTCTGGTTCATAACATAACCTGCATTTTCTTACAGTCCATTAATATCAAAATAAGACCTTAAAGGTTTGAAAAACACTCCTTTAAAAGGAGTTGGATTACGTGATCGGCACCAACAGTTCCATTCGTTTTTCTGTAGCGCATGTACCCGAAACAGCGTTAACTTTGCAGCTGTAACCAAACTGAATGTCATTCTCACATAGTGGCGTTTCTGTAGCCTTAACTGGTTGAGCTCTCCACTCAGAAGAATTCCGTTTTTGAAGTGATAGCTAGATGCCATTGAGTCAGCTTCGACTCCTGGTGACGTCACATACGACAGAACGAAGTTGGATCTCATTGCTGTGGCCACCGTGCCTGTCCATCTCACTGAGGGTCTTCCTCACCCTTGTCGTCTCTCTGCTCCACCAAACATGAGGTCCTCATCTAGTGTTTGGTCCCTTCTGATGACGTGTGCCCAGCAAAAAAGTCAGACAGTGTTTGTAACCCATGAGGTTTTCACTGGCTACGTTTTAAAATTAGATTTCTAGGTCTTTCTTCTTAGTGTATCTTAGTCTGCAAGCTCCGCTGGAACCTAAGTGACCCTGTTGGTATTTGAACTCCCCGTATCATAGCAATCTGCAAGCCACCATCATACAACTAACTGATAGATTTGTTGTTAGGGGCCACTGAGTCAGTTCCAACTCATAGTGACCCTATGTAGGGTTTTTAGAAGCTGTAAATCTTTACAGAACAGAAAGCCTCATCTTTCTCCTGTGGAGTCTGGTGGGTTTGACTTGCCCACCTCGTGGTTAGCAGTTCAGTGATTATCACATACAGCCTCCAGCAGTCCCTGACAGATGTTGTTGTTAAGTGCCATGGAGTCAGTTCCAACCCTTAGTGACCCTGTATTGGGTTTTCAAGGAGTGGCTGGTGAGCTTGAACCACTGACCTTGCGCTTTAAATGACCTTTGCGGTCCAGCGCATTAACCCACAGCGCCACACCAGGACTCCCCCTGAGAGATAGTGGTTCAAAAATATATTTCCCTCCAGTTGTCTCCTTAAGAGCTTTTAGCATTTCATGACAGTCTGTCTGCAGACTTTGGCTTGGACATTTTGATCAGGGATGACATACCGCATGTCTAGATTACGCCATGCAGTCCTGATCTGAGGTCGAGCGACAGGCCAGGGTAATGCTGTTTCCACTTATCACGATACCTGATGCTGAAAAGAGAAGGTGGCTTTTGATTCGCTTTATTTAGGCTAAGGTAGGAAGGTGAATTTTCTCTTCTGTAAAACATTTCTGGCATGTCTATTTCACTCTGCAGTTGACTGATTTATTACCTGTATCTCACACATTAGACTTGGTGTGGGTCTAAAGGGACCTTTTGTTGGTTCTGACCCATAACAACCCTGTATAGAGTTTGAATTGCAGCTGATGGGTTTAAACTGCCAGCCTTGTGGTTTTCAGTTCAGTGCTGATCCTACAGCACCTTAACATTTAATAAATAGAAGCCTAGTGACCAATTCTTTGTTTGCTCAAGCAAGTAAAGTAAGGAGCAAGATGTTGTTTTTGATATGTGCTGTGGAGTCGGTTCCGACTCATAGCAACCCTGTCCAGGGTTTCTGAGACTGTAAATCTTTATGGGAGCAGAAAGCCTCATCTTTCTCCCGCGGAACTCCTGGTAGTTTTGAACTGATGACCCTGAAGTTAGCAGCCCAACTCGTAACCAAGATACAAGGTAGTAAAGTCTGTTCATTGAGGCTTCCTGCTGTGGCCTAAGTGTGAAATCTTGCAATTTCACACAAACCGATTGTTAATTCTCACCTGTGAATTCTCTTTATCCTTACAGAGGACAAGCATCAAACTAAGAATAAGATCGAGACTCTTGAAAGATTAAGGTACCATTTATATGAAGAGCTTTCCTGCAGTGTAATCTGGGAAAAGGTTGTAAGAGAATTGACTAGAAATCAAGATTCCACGATAAATCTCCAAGGGAAGAGTTCTTGGTTACTAAAACAAAATGATTTCCCCTGGCAGATCTGGTCAGGAGTATCTATTGAGGTTTCTGAAGAGACTTATTTAATGAGTCTTCAAGGGAGTAGTGGCAATAATACTAAAACCCAAAAGTTTCCTACTTGGAGAACCCAAGATTTGGGGAAGGGAACTTATCTGAGTGAGTCCCAGAATCCTCGGAGTAGATATGAACAAATTCCTGTGGGGAAAGACCTCTGTAGATGTGATCAGTGTGTTGACAGCTTACATTGGATCTCATGCCATCATGAAGGTCATGGAGTACACCAGAGAGCCCAAGCTTCTAGCCACCGTGGAAAAGACTTCATGAAGCAATTGTCACTTAATCAGCATAATACAGTTGACAGAGGAGAAACCTATCTGCGCAACGAGCGTGGCAAAGGCTTCTGTGATGCCTCTGATCTTGAACTTCATCAGAAATCACACATAGGGGAGAAGTCCCACACCTGTGGTGAGTGTGGCAAGAGCTTCAGTTATAACTCAGTTCTTCCAGTTCATCGGAATGTCCACACAGGAGAGAAGCAGTTTAAGTGTGATGAGTGTGACAAGGGCCGCAGCCAGAGTTCTTACTTTCACACGCATCAGAGAGCGTACACAGGGGAGAAGCCCTGTACATACCGTGAATGTGGCAAGAGCTTCAGTCAGACTTCCTCTCTCCATACCCATCAGCTCATTCATCCAGAAGGGAAGACTTTTAGGTGTGATACTTGTGGGAAGCATTTTGATAATAGCTCTGATCTTAACACCCACTGTCAGGTCCACAGTGGAGAGAAACTCTATCTCTGCAGTGAGTGTGGGAAAAGCTTCAGGCAGAGCTCACAGTATGAAGCTCATCTAAGAGTCCACACAGGAGAGGAGTCATTGAAATGTGAGGATTATGGAAAGGGCTTTAGTGAACGATCAGAATTTTATAATCATCAAGTCCACTTAGGAGAGCCTCCCCATCAATGTGATAAGTGTCTTAAGTGTTTCAATAGTAAGTCAAGTCTCCATGTCCATCAGAGAGTCCATACGGTTGAGAGACCTTATAAGTGTGAGGAATGTGGGAAGACCTTTAATTGGAGTTCACATCTGTATGTTCACAGGCGGGTTCACACGGGAGAAAAGCCCTATAAATGTGAGAAATGTGATAAGGGCTTCAGTCAGGCTTCGCATCTTCAGGCCCATCAGAGAATGCATAGTGGAGAGAAACCATACAAGTGTAATACGTGTGCTAAGGGCTTCAGTCGGAGTTCATATCTTCGGGTTCATCAGCGAATCCATACCGGAGAGAAGCCATTTAAATGTATGGCATGTGGTAAAGGCTTCCGGCAGCGCTCCTATCTTCACACACATCAAAGAGTGCACATGGTGGAGAAACCCTACAAATGTCATGACTGTGGAAAGGGCTTTTGCCAGAGTTCTTCTCTCCTTGCTCATCAGCTCATTCACATCGATAAAAAGACTTGTAGTTGTGACAGGTATGGAAAGAGCTTTAATAACAGCTCAGATCATCGTATTTATTGTAGAGTCCACACTGACAAGAAATCCTTCGAATGTGAAAAGTGTGGGAAACTCTTCAGCTGGAGCTCGCATCTTCAGGCCCATCTAAGAGTGCACACAGAGGAGAAACCATTCAAATGTGATGATTGCGGGAAGGGTTTTAGTGGCAGATTTGCGCTTCGCAGCCATCAACAGCTCCACTCAGGAGAGACCCCCTATCAATGCGATAACTGTATGAAGGGTTTCACTAGTAAGGCAAGTCTCCGAATCCATCAGAGAATTCACATGGTTGAGAAACCTTACAAGTGTGAGGAATGTGGGAAGTGCTTTAATTGGAGCTCCCATCTCTATGTTCATAGGCGGGTCCACACAGGAGAGAAACCCTATAAATGTGGGGAATGTGGTAAGGGCTTTAGTCAGACTTCACATCTTCAGGCCCATCAGAGAATCCATACTGGAGAGAAGCCATACAAATGTAGTATATGTGCTAAGGGCTTCAGTCGGAGTTCATATCTTCTGGTCCATCATCGAATCCATACTGGAGAGAAACCATTTAAATGTGTGGTATGTGGTAAGGGCTTCAGTCAGCGTCCCTATCTTCACACACATCAGAGAATTCACATGGTAGAGAAACCATCAGATCAGAATATCAGTTCATAATATTTATTGTAAAATCCACACTGAAAAGCAAGCCTTTGGATGTGAGAGTGTGGGGAATACTTCAGCTAGAGCTTGCATCTTCAAGATCATCTGAGAGTCTGTAGTGGTAAGAATCCATACAAGTGTGATCTATGTGGTAGGCTCTTCATGGCTTCACATCCACCAGAGTCCACACAGGAGAGAATCCATACAAATGCTAGTGTGTATGTATAGCGCTTCAGTTGGAGGTCATAGCTTCAAGTTCATGAGACAGTTCATGTTCAAGAGAAGCCATACAAATAAATGCATGTGATAAGAGTTTCAGTAAGAGCTCATAGCTTTAATTTCCTTAGAGACTATCAGCTTTATGAAACTCATACCAGAGTCTTCAGCCAGCACTCATAATCTCCGTGCACCTGAAGGAGTTTCCACCGAAGAGAAACCCGAGAAGTGTGACATATGAGAAGGGCTCTAGGCAGAGTTTGCATATTGAAGTTCATCAAAAAGTCTACATTAGAGGAAAAACTCTAAATGTGAGGACTGTGGAGAAGGTTTTACTGTAAGAGCCACATTTCACAATCATTAACAATTTCATGTGGGAGAACTCTCTTCTCACCCATCAAATATGATAAGACTTGCTAAGGGTGTGAATAGTAAGTCTCCATGTCCATGGGGGGAAACCGTACAAATGTGAGAATTGGGTGGAGGGCTTTAGTTGGAACTCGTATTTTCTCACATCAGTATTCGTTTAGGAGAGAAATCCTATACATTTTACCATCTCCAAACTTACTGAGAGTCCACAATGGAAAGAACCTATACAAATGTAAGCCGTTTGTAATTGGGGCCTTCTTTTTTTTTTTTTTGTAAAGTATCTCAGAATCATTATTTACATTAGGTTATCCATCAAGAGGAGAAAACCTGTAAACTGATGTGTTTTAAGAACTCAAGAGAGAGTTGCATTCTTCAATGATTATCAGAGTTCAAATAGGAGAGGGGGAAAAAACTATTTTGTTAATGTGATTGATATGTAAGCCAAAGTTTAAAATGCCACAGTTCATACAGCAGAGAACTCTTTAAGAGTGGTGTGGTGAGGACTTTGAAGAAAACCTGCATGTGCATCAGTATACACAGTAGTTGTTGTTGTTGTTAGGTGCCATCGAGTCGGTACCGACCCATAGCGACCTTCTGCACAGCAGAACGAAACATTGCCCGATCCTGGGCCAACCTCACAATTGTTGCCACACTTGATTCCATCGATGCTGCCACTTGGCTAATCCATCTCATTGGGGGTCATCCTCTTTTTCAATGATATAAAATGCTCATGCCTTCAGTGAGTGAAAAGATAGGCATGAACTCAATCAGTGTCTGTGAGAGCATCAGCTCGGTGAGGATCAGACTGTTATTGGTATCTGTTGTTGGTCACCATCGAGTTGATGGTGATTCGTGGTGAGCACTTAGGTGCAGAATACAGCTGTGACAAGGCTGTGACCTTTTGGAAGCCTGTCTTCCAATGTGTCTCTGGTTGGGTTCAAACTGCCAGTCTTTCAGTTAGTAGGCAAGCAGTTAACCTTTTATACCACCCACAAATGGGACTTTGTGGTGAAATGAGGTCATTTATGTGGCCTTTTGCCTTGGTTCTTTTGGAAAAAATAGATTGAGAGATTGCCCCCCATTTAGCCCCGAAGAGCTACCTTTGCCCTAGTTGTCTACCCCAGAGGTTTGTAATTCTGGTCCAGCTTTGATGTTTCCTTGGCAAGCTGTAAACAACTTGTTATATGATACATTTTGTCCAGACCTGTGGCTGTAGCTTCCCTGTGATTGGGATGTACTTTGCATGGATTGGTCAGTTGTTGTTGTGAAGTGCCATCGAGTCGGTTCCAACCCATAGCGACCCTGTACAGGGTTTCCAATGGTGTAAATCTTTACGGGAGTAGAAAGCCTCATCTTTCTCCCGCGGAGCGGCTGGTAGTTTCGAACTGCTGACCTTAAGGTTCGCAGCCCGATTCGTAACCACTACGCTACCATGGATTGGTCAGTAGACTATGCAAATGCAACACTATAGCCTTCTATGCAAATGAAGTGTCTGTGGCCTACAGCGCTAGGGGATTGGTCAATTTATGGCCCTGGTGAGAAGGCCATGCCTTGAAATTGACAAGGAGTATGTGTGTAAAGAGGAGACTTCAAATAGTTTGTGGAAAAATCAAATTAAAAGAGAATGGAATTTTTCCACGGAACACAATTTTCAAATTCAAAACATTTTGACGCTCCCTTGTATATGTAGCCAGTTTTCACAGACGTTCTTGAGACAGAAGCAGACAGAAGCCACAGGAAGAGAGAAAAGGAGGCAAAGGAACATCCTATAGGAGCTGTAATGTGGGTGAAGGCTGTGACACAGAAGACAGCAAGAGGCCTGGAGGGGGTCCTGTGGTAACAGGCCTGGAAGGGCCTTACAACAGAGTTAATGGTGATGGTGGGGAGCCAGAAGGCAGAGAGGCTGGTCCTCAGGAGGCTGAGAAAAGTCCTGTCCTGAGGTAACTAGAAGAGATTGGGAGCGTAGAAGAGGCCTGTCCTGAGGGGGCTAAAAGAGGAGGCTGTCCTCAAGGGACCGAGAGAGACCAGGCATAGCAGAGGGTGTGTGTGGCAGAGAAGGGCCTGCTTGCTTGCACAGCTGAGAGTAGCTGAGAGACCTGTCTTGCCTGAAGAAGGGGCGGATGTGCTCTTCACTTCGGGGAGCCTTTCAGACTTTGCCTAAATACTTCCTGATCCTGCTCCTAAGTTGTAGATGGCTGATCCTGGTCCTAAGTTTGTACCTTGTTACTTCCTTAACCAATCGATTAATTGTAAGTATGGTCTCTCGGTTCTGTGTGGCCACTGAAATGGATTCTTGAACCCAGAAGAGATGGAGAGAGTGCCGTGGAGGAATGGCTGTTGTCAGAATTGGTAAAAAGCTTGGAGAGTGGAGGTATTTCCTCATAGGAAATTGGGTTTTGGCCTGATCCATCATGTTGCCCCTTGACATCAGACAGTTTCTGATGATACTCTTATTACTCCCACCATTTCACAAGACCCCTGGTATCAGAAGGGGATTTATTGCAATATCTCTTGAATCATGGAAACATGGGCCTTTGGAGGAGATAGAAAGGGGTTAGGGGTGAGAAACTGTTGGTTCCTGGGTGGTTATCTTGGTTGCTACTGTCTGCAGTGACTACCCAAGAGATGCTATGCTGCAGCATGGATAGGAAAGCGCCCAGTAAGTAAAGCAAGATGATGACTAGGAGTCAGGGTCCTATGATTCAACCCGTCCAGTGACCAAAGGCACTAAATGCTTACAAGTGGGTAAACAAGTCAAAAGAGTGGGAAAAAGATGATGAAAATGGAATGTTTAAAAGGGTTACGTTTTTGCACGAATATACTATATTCCTGAATGAAGGAATGTTTTCTCTACCTGATAACTGTAAAATATACTTGACTGTATGATGGAAATGAATATTGGGTATTATAAAGCAAAGCAGAGTGTGTAACTCCACCCTTCAGGCAATACTTGATTGGATGTGCCCAAAAGGGAAATAAATAGTAAATGGAGCTTGTGCCCAAAGGCTGTGAGACCAGGAGATTTGCATTTGCAAGACCATTGGATTTTGAGAACACCATGATGAATGAAGGTTTCATTGACCAAAAAGTTGCTTGGTGATTGAGCAGTAAAACAATGTGGGGGCAAAGGCCTTTGAAATCTGAAGGGTGTGTTGAATAGGACATGTTAGTGCCCATCAGAAGACCCCCTCTTCCAGGACCTGAAGCTCATGGAAGCCAGAAAATAGGTAGCTTGGTACATTCACTTAAGGTGACTACCTGGATCCACAGTGTGAGGGAAGGTGAGGGATGTGGACCGATGAAGACATGGACTGTTTGTACTTGTTCCCTTTGCACCTGTTGACCTAGCCTCAGGTGGCTAGGGATGCGAGAGAGATTGAGTGGTTGGTCAGAAGTGTAGGAAGTTGTGTGGCCTACCAAGCCTCAGCTGGCACTCATGGACCTGGTTTGTTTTGTCAGGATGAGCTGACTAAATGGAGATGAGATGAGTGGGCCCCAGGTGAAGAGGAGGAGACGGAGACGTGTTTGATCCCATAAATATAGCTTACTGCAATCTGATAACTTACCCTGAACTGGATGATGCTGATGCTCCTTAATGCCTCAAAATATTGATTTGATTGGGAGGAGCAATTTAAACATTGACTGTCTAAAATGGGGGCAGGGGAGATAAAGGCATGAAGTGGCTGACTTACACACTTGTGTGTGTGCTTTACAATCAAAATGAGTGGGACAAGGGAGTAATCCCTACTAAACAGATTCTTCTTTTCCTGATAAGTCTGGGGAAGGGAGAATGGAGCTCTGGTTCTATGATTAGACTGTGATTGTTGATTGTTAACGGGTTAATTGTGATTGTAAAAACTGTATTTGTAGAAGTGGTAAGTGACAAAGTGGACTAAGGGAAAGGCACTGGTGGGCTGGAGTACAGTGCTCAAACCTAATGTCTTGTTCAGATTTTACTGTGATGATTACTTGAGAGACTCAGAGCAAGGGAAAAATATTCTCTCAGTAAAATTTTATCCATTGGCTGAAAGGGAGGGAGAAGGTGAGGCAAGTTTTGGAGACTGACCAGATCGATGGATACCTGCAGTGGACCTGAATGGCTTTACTCTGAGAGCTTTTGTCCTGTGCATGGGCTCATTGTTCATGACTGATTGGGAATGGTGAAATCGATATGTGAGAACCATGGCAAAAAGGCTAGAGGGTGAACTGTGGCAAAATGAGTTCCTTAATGCGACTTTTTACCCTGTTCCTTTGGAAAAACATATTGAAAGATTTTTCCTAAGGATTCAGCTCTGAGTGACTATCTTTGCCCTCATTTTCCACCTCAGAGGGTTTGTTACATGTTTGTCCAGATTAGCATCTCCTGGATAAATTGTAAACAAAGTTGTAGTTTAATACATTTTGCCTGACACTGGGTTGCAGCCTGCCTTGTAATTGGTATGCACTTTTTACTGATTGGACAATAGACTATGCAAATGAAGTTTATTATAGCCTACTATGCAAATGAAGTGTTCGGTGGCCTACAGAGAGGGGATTGGTCAGTTTGTGGCTCTGGTAGGAAGGCCATGAAATTGACAAAGAGTTTGTATATGTACATATATATGCAGCCAACTCCACAAAGGTTTTTGAGATAGGAAGACAGATAGAACCAGAAGGAAAAAAGAAGAGATAGTAAGCAAAGAGAAAAGGCAAGAAACCCCGTAAAAGAGCTGTGACATAAATGAAGGGTTGTAACACTGAAGACAGCATGGGGTCCAGAAAGGGCCTTGCATCTGTCAGTGATGAAGGCAGGAGGCTGAAGACAGAGAGACCTGTCCTCAGGAATCTGAGGGGACTGAGAAGACAGCTGTCCGGAAGGGCTGAGAATAAGCT